GTGCCTAAAGACCTTGCAGTTGCTGATGATTTCTGATCCCCACCACCAACTCTTCTGATCTTCTGGTTCTTCTGATCACCACACCAACCCTGTCTGAGGTAAGTGCACAGTCAGCATAAGGGGAGAAAACAGTTAGGACTCCCAGGTTTATCTCACATTGGAACACTTGCAATGACTGGCATCAYGTGAGGAAGTGGCTTGTTCCCTTGCACTTGATCACTGCAGCTACAGGGRGTGATGGAGCACCCTGGACAACTGCCTTCAGAGCTGTAAGGCACTTCTATCAGAGGCCCTTGTAAAACAGACACCCCTCCTTTCCTTGTGCTTCCTTCCTGTCACACTTCCATGCTGTACCTCCTCCTTTTAATTCCTTGGACAGAGTTGAGTTCATCCCCTGATGTTCTGGAATGGATTGCAGGTGATATTCTGAAGTTATCACATTACAGAAAAATGCAGCTGAGCTCYAGGCAGTCCTGGGTGCCCCTTGACCCCTCCCGGTAAGGCAAGAGTGGCTTCTTTCTCATGCTTTTGGTTTGCTTTTGCCAGATGGAAATAGCAGATGGTGTTGATCAGGAAATCAATCTAGAAGCGTATCCGTTTCATGCTGTACACGAAAGATTTGTTCATTAAACTTAGAACTCTAATTTAAAGCCAATTAACAAAGTGATTTGAAGAGACTTGTTGTTTTTCAAGTTCAAAAGAGATAGTAACTCTCTGATTTCAGTCTTTGTACATTCCAGAACCTGTATAACTATTGCGGTGTTGCCAACTCTCGTGAGTTTTTCCTCTTATTTTTTTTTTCTTTGAGCTATGCAACTTCTGGCATTAGCTGGAACCTTCAGCTTCTTGGACAATTCCATTCCTAAGTTTAGAGATGAATAGTTAGTCCAAATGTGGATGTCTTTCTGCCTCTTTTGCCAAGAGCCAGTAAATCCTCCTCCTTCTTCCCTTCAGCAGCTCAGTCTTCTTGAAGCAGAAGTTGGGGAAGGGARTAGAGAGAGGGAAGGAGCCCCGAGCAGCTCAGTGACCTCCCTACACTGCTGTCATCAGCATGGAGTCATCTCCAGCACTTTCCTCCCTCCCCACAGCATCTTCCAGAAGATAGGAATCTACCACAGAAGCTTTCTCAAGCATGGAAAGGGGCAGCAGAGAGATACTGCTGTACATTATGCACGGCAGAGCATACAGCCCTAACTTCCATACATAAATAGTGCTGTAAGACTGGTCCGTGGAGGTGGTTCCTAAGAAATGTCAAAGCTGGAAACCTTGTGCCAAGAGGACCCCAGAAGTGTCTAACTCTGAATTGATGTTTATGCTGCTTTTACCCTAGAAGAATATTCTRTAAACACTTGTAGGTCCTTCAGCAGTAGACAGTGTGTTTGGATAGTCCTTACATTTACTAGTGGCATGTGTACAGAAAAAACTTTCTCGAGTAATTTGAAGCTGCTGCTGATACAAAAGAAAATAGGGGGGTCAAGTTCTGCTCTAGTGTAGAGCCCATGACTTCACCAGGTTAACTGCTGCTACTTCCTTGTAATTGAGAACATAATTTGGCTCAGACCCTGGGAGACTGAAAAGGATCACGGCAGCCACTGAATTTAGCCAGTGTTCAAAACAGTTGGCTTATAGTGAATATCATAAGCAGATTGTGTAGCAGCCTTCAGCTTAAAAGTCTGCTGCAGGAGAAGTGGTGGGACTGTCTCGTTTATTCTAGCTAAATGGCATGCCAGGAAAAGCCATCAAATGTTTTATCAGTATGTGGAACAATATGGCAGAGTGGCTCRGGTACCTCACTGTGGGTCAGACGTGATGAGGATCATGCACAGGCTGCCCTCTGTTACCCCAACTCTGCACGTTCGCTCCAGGAGCCAAAAGCAGATGGGCTTTATGGCCACGTTGCGGTGGACATGGTGATGGCATCAGCAGCTGGCACATCTTGACTGTGTCCTGTTGTGGGTGGCAGGACCKTTCTGTTACTCCTCAGAGCTGCGTATGAGGTGGGCAGGTAGGAATGTATTTTAAACAAAGGAGAAAATAGGCATGTGCCTGCCGAAGCACAAAATAGTCACAGAAGCAGAAGGGCTCCTGGAGGCCTCCTTTGGAAATCTCTTCCTGATGTCGTGCTGGGCAGCATAGCTCCTGGGCACCGCGGTGGCTTTCAGTGAGTGTAACAGGGCCTGTGCGGATTAGACCCGTGTCAGGGCGTCCTGGTTGGCGTCTGCCTTGGATCAGAGAGGCCAACTCCTGCTGTGGTCCTTAATCTTTAAGGAGAGGTGGTCAAAGCTGCTGCTTCCTTCCACAAAAAAAAGGCTTGAGGGGGAAAATCTTTTTCTGCACTGTTTAGGGAAGGAAGAGGGGGTTTCCTGGTGAAAGAACCCCCCCCCAAGAAGGAAATCGTGTCTACTCAAGAACAGGGTGTGCAGGGGATAGGTCTTGAGTATCTGTTTATTCCCAAGTATGCTGGCAGTCACTTCYAGTCTGGTGTCCTCCAAAAGACAGCGGTGTTTTGGGACAGCTCKTCTGACCATTCCTCAAGCACTTAGCAGGAGGGATTGTTTTATTAGGAAAGTTTATGGCTTCTTGTTTTCCCTCAAAGGCAAATGGGACTTTGTTGTTTTTAATTCTGTTGGGATTTCTCTCTCTTAATATACAACCCAGCTGTTAAAATAGCTGGGGTTGTCTAGGGCAAATCATATAGCACTTTCCTTGTTCAGCTCTCAGATGGCTGCCTTTTTAGTGTCGTTGCAGAATTATATTACAGGACATATGAATAGTGCTGGTATTAGTGTCAAAATCAATTACCCAGCCCTCCTCCTGGAGAGAAAGCTACAGACCTTAGGAACAATCTGAGTAATCCATTTTGGGTTTCTAATTCTGAGTAATGACGGAGGGCAGAGGCTTGTGCTTGAATAAGTGCACAGGGTCTTTCTCTGTATAGTCACTCCTAAATGCATGCTCTTTACAGGAAAAAGCAGGCTCCCTGTGAAACCCTTTTTCATGCCAAATGGCTCGCTGCTAAGATTAATCTGTCATTGAATTTATAAATTCTCTGTGGCGCGGAGCTGCAGCGAAAAGTTTAGCATTGAGCAGAAAAGGCAAACTATGTACTGCTTAAAAAATGAACGCCGTGCTCCTGGACGGTGTGGATTGACTGCTTCCATCAATATATCTTCTTATACTGGTAATAAAAATACGTCCGTAGCCTCGTGCCTCCGAGGATCTCCAAGCATTTTGCGAGTTGGTGAAGTGCTGTTTGCTCTTTAATGGCTGTGGAGCCGCCCGTGAGAGAGGTGAAGCCTTCTGGAGGCTGTGGCAGAGGCGCCGGGGCTCCRGTGGAGGTGGCAGCTCTCCAAGGACAGGAGCCTTTGCCTGTGGCCGCCGCCCCGGCCTCGTGGCCCATCCGCTCTGCCACCGGGCGCCTCCGCAAAGTGGAAAGTGTTACAGCCGCCAAACCCTAAATCCCTCAAAATTGGAGTCGTTAGAGTCCGTTTTTATCTAATCCGCTATTTGAGAAGAGTTTACCTGTTTTTAATACAACCACTTATTACAATTGCTTTTTTTATTCGTAATTCACTCCGAATGTAAACACATGGCTACCAAGGCCAGACTTTCGAGTGCAGGCCTCGTGTCCTGCCAGGTTTTGAGCAGATGAGGACACGTCCGCAAAGCCGGGTCCCTCCGGCGGGGCCCTGGGGCCGGCGCCTCAGGCAGATGGCGCCTCAGGCAGATGGCGCCGCTTCGATGGCGGCCTCGCCCGGCGGCAGGGGAGCATCCGGCTCCCAACCCAAGCGCGAAGCTCGGGAAGGACCAGGCGAGGGGCGGGAATTTACCCTCCGAGGCTTATTTTTGTGTATGGTTGATCCTCTAGACGCACCAATTGGATGGTTTCATCTCTTGCTTTGGTGGTTGTACTCCAGAGTATTTCAGAAGCCAGAAATTTAGATATCTAGTAAGGGTAGAGGGCAAAGGAGGAATTAGGTGGGAGATTTCTCAAGACCAGCCTGCGGACGGCAGAACTGGGTTACCATGTGGAGGTTCTGTGAAAATTGGACTCGGAGACATTTGGAGTAAATCAATTTTAAGTGGGGGAATGAAAGTTATTTACGGTCAGGAACGAAGCGTCTCATTTAATAGAAACTTGCTCTGTGAAATTTTAGATGCACATAATTGGGTTTGGGAGACAAAATAAGTTTGAGATGCACKAAACGTTTCAAGTAACAAAAGGCTTGGGAGCCAATATTTTCCATGGATTTAAGTTTAAAGAAAAACTTGGGTTTGTGCTTTGATAKCCTGTTTTGTAGAGTTTTCCCTGGCACTTAATTTGCCCTCCCTAGCACAGCTAAAGCAATGAATGTTTTTCAGATATGACTGATCAGGAAAGAAGTTTGTTGGGAAAGAGGATCTGTGGATGTTAGTCTGTATGAGTGAGAGCTGAAAGGACTCTGGGATGTCTGYTGTGGTGTGTTCATAAACAACATGGAAAAGTTATGGTCAGCATGTAGGGTCAGCCCCGGTGTATAGAATGACCACCAACTATGAGGAAAAGAAAAATCAACCTGATTTTTTTTTTCCTAAGTTACTTTGTAAGATTTTAGCTGACTCAGTTGATTGTTATGATGGGCATGGGTGGACAAATCAATTTGAATGCTAAGTTTTGGAAACTCACCTGTCCTTTAATCAGAGAAACTCCTTTGGAACAGCTCAATCAGCCCAACTTTAAGAGAAAGAACAAGTATTTTGATTCTGATACTTCAGCTACCTGAAATTACTGRGATCTGCAAATATGCAAAATTCCCTTTTGGGGTTTTGATGTTCCTGCTTGCAACTCCTATAATGACTGTTGTGAGGGTTCAGAACTTAGATGTTCTTTGCAGCTCACAAGTTACTTCTTGTAACTTSTCTCTTGTAAAAGAGCAGTGCTGTGAACTGCTGGCTGCTTCTTCAGAGCCCTGATTTTGCTTGCTTTATTAGTGACCAGAATTTGGTTTTATGTCTTGTAGGGTTGCTGAGCTGGAAGATGCACATCTAAGATGGAAACTTCTGCTTCGACCACTGCTGGGAAAAAAGAAGGGAAAGGTGCAGTTCTGGAAGGGAATGGCTTTGTGGAGACGGGGAAGAAACCCATTCCTTTAGCAGCTACAGGAGCAGCAGTTGCACAAGGAGGTACTTTATGTTTTCCACACTTTGAAAACAGCAGGGGTGTTTTTCATTAGACTGTTAGACTTTAACAAGTATGGTGGCATCTGTCCTCCTGTGAACACGCTGAGTTTATAGGGGTTCTTGGCCTCCGAAGGTCACAGGAGCTGTAAGCTGCATCCAGACGTTCCCGTACCACGAGAGGCATCATCGCTCYGACCAAACGTGGGCCCGGGTGGGGAGAGGACAGCGAGCTGCCGCCGGAGCTAAATTGCTGCTGAATTAGACGTAGTCATCAGAGAGTTGAGACAATCAGTCACTGCTAACCGCCGGCAGACGGGCTTTGTGCGATACATGCCACGTATCGCTCCTCCACAGAGGAATTAAAATGTCACTGATGAGGCCGGCTGCAGCTAAGTGAAGTTGCTGCTGCCGTGGTGGGGGAAGAGGAGGTGTCGTGTGGTGCCTGGGATCCTGTTAACTGGCTAAACAGCTTTCACTGCTGCTGGCATTTCACGGTTAGCGAGGAGCCTGCACTGGTCTAAGCCCCTTGTAAGAGGGTTTGCATAAATAAAACCAATCCTGTTTGCCCTGAGTTGTTGCACTGTGCCTGCTGCATCAGAAGTAGCGCAGATCTTGACTTTTTTCTTTAGGTTAATGTTTTCAGAAAGGATTTGGCTGGTGTTGAAGTCAATATTGAAGTCAGTAGGGAAGCTTTTGTGGGCCTCAGCAGGGTCATTTTTGGCACAAGCTGACACTGACGTGTGGGGGACGTGGAGGTTCTCCTGGCTGCTCCCCACCTCGTTGGGAGGGCCTGGGACAGGCAGGACAGCCTCGGTGGGTGTCCATSTGTCACCACAGCCCCTCTATGTGCCAAGGAACACTTCTGGTCTGGATAGGTGGAGCAGGCAAAATATAGCTCCRGGAAACATCCCTCCCTGACTCACGAGGGCTGGTGGGTCTCCAAGGAGAAGCCCTGCCCTTGGTGCAGCACCTTCAAGCAGCTCCAGCTGTTGCACGGGGCAGGGACCTCAGCAGTTTGGGTATGACGAGAGGCGTCCCAGCTGTGTAAACTTTGCAGGCAGCCTTTTCTTCTCTTTAAAATATACCTTATTGGTAGTTAGACTCTTACCTCAAAATTAATCCTTCTCCTCCCCTCCCTTAAGTGTGTGGTAATTTCTCATCAACCCAGGAAAGCAGCACAATTCTTCTGTGGGCTTCTCTGCTAGTCAYACAGCTCAGCGAGTTGAGTGTTCTGTTGGCGGAGTTGGGATGATTGCTTCTGGCCCAAATTACTTAAATCAGCTTCCCCTATCCTTTCTTTCCAAGGCATTAGTTACCATTTTCTTGTTGAAATTTTGAAAGATTAGAGTATATGGAATAAGGAATTATAATTTATCAATCTATTTGTGTYTTTGAACTTTGTTAACCAAAGGAAAGCATTTTCTTAAAAAGAAAAAAACCTACTGTGCTCTAGAGAACCTGCAAGATAGGGTTGCTTGAGAGASACAGCTTCAAACTACTAAATGGGTTTGAGCTACCTTCCTTGGTGTGAGTAACGTGCAAATTGGCAGAAAAAGAAGGCTTGTTCAACTGAAGAGGCTGGGGAAAGGCAGAGGTGACCACACGCAGAAGTTTGCCATCTCCATGCAGATTTYCATCTCCATTAAAGCAGCAGAAGGCTGTGGAAGCCACTGAGGCATCCCAGCTGCAACACCAAGTGAGAGACTGGTTGGGTCAAAGGACTGATTGGTGCCAGGGAAGTTGAAGCATATGCTCAAATTCAAAACACAGGTAAACTGAGACCAAGTCCCTTCTCCTGACGGGGCATTGGCTTCTGGAGCACCTCCAGCAAGGAAACGGTCACTGCAATTCCAGAGGTGCAGCAGAAGTCAGGATCCTCCCTCTCCTGCCCCAACATGCAGTGTCCAGTGGCCTGTTGGCATGACGGGAGACTTGACTGTTTTTTAAGCCTCCAGCATTACTTACCACATTAGCAGTGCTGTTGCCTTTTGAAACAATGATTTACAGGCTCAATATTYCTCTCTATATTAAGAGGAAGTGGGGAAGTAAGTGCAGGGATTGTTTGAAGATGTCAGGAGAAACATGATGAAAGCATTGTGTAATGAGATGTAAAGAGCAAAATCTATATCGTGCTGGGAAGAGAAGTGCTAATAGACGATCTAAAATGGTCACCAGCAAAGGAAGCTTGAGATCTGATTCAGGCCCTCCAAACTTTGCAGATAATGCACATGTTCCTAAAGTTTGAAAGTCTTTCTTATTTTTATCTCTCTCACTTTGTGTGGAAGTTATACATGCTGTTCAAACAGAGCATCTGTGTGAGTGGAAACAAGATTAATGTAGTCTTTTTGTAAGATCAGCTAATTATCTGATGCACTTCAGCAGATAACAACAAGGCCGGGTAGTGGCTAGGCTCTACTTGCATAGTTTTCATACTAATATAACATATTTGCTTCACTAAACTAGTGTAATTGCTCATAACAGGCTAGAAATATACATATTTATGCTCATAGTCTTACAGAAGAAAGCAAATGAGGCATGGAGATTAATTAGGTTGTTAAATTCTGGGAGGGCAACAGCGACAGACAAGCTTTAAAGGCCTCTAAGCTTCCCACCCTGCTTTGAGGCCATATGAGCATGTCTTTATGCTCATCCAACACAAACTCTGGCTTTTATTTATTGTGGAGGTTTTACTCTTTGTGCTAGTATGTGAGAAAGTGGCAGCAAGGCTCAGCTAACGCTGTGCATCACCGAGCTGCTCTCCAGAGCCAAACAAACATAATTTGCAACACATTTCTGCTCTTTTATTCTCCTGAGTCACACAGATGAGTGCCAACATAGCATGTTTCTATCATGGTAGGGACTTTTTCTTCACCAAAATGAATAGATTCACGAGGGTTTATTTATAATTAATGTAACTGAAGCAATAAACTGAATAWTATTCAAGTAATTGAAGAACAGTATTTCCAGTATATCATTTGTGTTATAACTTGTCCGACCTCCGTTTCTATTTCCCATGCTTTGAATATTTGTCCCAAATGTTTGCAGCCTTGAACTAATTAAGTGATGGCTGTAGGAAAAGACATTGGTATTGTTGATGTTGTCAGTGGAGACGAGTTCTGCTGTGTTAATGATCTGTATCTTGTATTTTTAGCCTTCTAAGCTGCCATTTTAGAGATCTTCTGACACTTTTTTTTATAGTAGCTCATTGATCAGATATTCYGAAATTGGCCTTGCAAAAGTGACATCAGGGAAGTGTCTCCTAATTTTCCATTTTTCCATAAATCATGCTGGCTAGGGAGTCAAAGTTCCTTTTTTTTTTTCTGTTTCAATAGGTGTATGTGTGACAAAGATGGAAGCCGGGTTTAATGACAATATTTAAGAGCTCTAGACAGCCAGATCTGCAAAACTCCCCCACTTTCAATGCCTCTAGTTTTGAAAAAGCAACTCCAAATACTTCAAGTTTAGAAGAAAAAGTGTTTCTGGGTTGTCTGAGTGCAAAAGTGCTCATTGCTTTGCTGGGATAAGAGGCTTGGGAGAACAGCAGCACATGTGAGAGCTAATTTGGGCCCGCAGGCTCGCCCTGTGGTTCCCCCTCGGGTCAGCAGGCACGAGGAAGAGGCGGCCRGAGGAGGAATGGGAATGGGCATCTYGTGCAGCCACCAAGATACTTAGGAAGAAGGGTTTCTCACCTCATAATAGAAAGGAAATACCAGTTCTTCTAAATGCTAACTGCCTGATTTGAGCAGGACCCAAAATGCACCCTTCGCTCTCCGCCCTCCGCATGACACAAACACCACGTTCCTAAATTGATGGTGTTTATGTTTGAAACATTTTTCTGATGTCTGGCTCTGTCAAGACTAATTTTAGCATTTCTAAAGCTGGGTAAAAATACAGCCTCATTACTTTGATGTCAGAGCATAGTTTACTATTAGTATATTCTGGGGTTTATCATTTTAGTCATGTTTAACACGGCTGCAGCAGGCATGCACTATTAAATCTGGCTTATTTTACATTCCTGTCCGGGATTATTTATTTGGAACAATTTCCTCTCTATCAAAAGACACGGCTAATGCTGAGTTTTAATGTGTTATTTACACACAAAATAACCTATTTACAACTCAGTATCTGCCGCAGGGAGAATGAATGGGGCAGTGCTCCCTTCATCCTGTTGTATCTGAGTTTAACAATCTGGATTGCTAATAGAACCATTTATCACGGGGTGGTAATTTATTTTATGTTAGCTGCACAGGTCTCCCTGCCTCTGATCTATGGAAATACTTTGTATATAATGAAGTTCAACAAGTCATTTGGTGTAAACATGGCAAAACCAAGCTGCAGAGCCACTAGGAGACTGGTTTCCACTCCGCTGCGGCTCTGCTCTGATCTCAAGGTTTCACTTGATGAAGAGCAGCTCTCCGGCCCGTGCGTGCCTCGTGGGCAGGGCGCTGGGCTCCTCCGCAGCGGGCCGGAGGTGGCCCTGGAGTTGGGCCACTTGATTTATGGGCTGGTGGGAGCACTTGGAGCTGTAGGAGCAGCACACTCAGCCCTTTGGTAGGCACAGGAGAGGGGCAGGGAGCACCTCCCGTCGCGCTCCGGGCATCGCGTWCAGCTGCTCTCCGGGCTGGATTATGGGAAGGCTATGGAAATGAGGAGAAGGAAATGCCAGCCCCCCGGCAGGCCTCAGGGAGCTGGAAAAATATATAGTTGGTGTGGCCTGAGCYTTTGACAAAGTGGGAGAACAGCCCCTATTAAGTTAGCTTCTCAGTCCACCCTGAAGGGGCTGGGATCTTCTCCAATGAATGTTTTTCATCCAGTTCACACTTTCCAGGAAAGGGGATGTGAGCAGTACAAGGACGTTCTCACCTTYTCTGCCTTGTACCGCTTTGATGAATACGTCTTAAAATGGAGATACCTGGTTAAAAGGAAAATCTGGTTTCCCTTAGAAGGGAAGGGGACACCTGGTAAAACAGAATGATGGGCAAATCCTGTAATTTAGACTGTGA